AGAATAGTATTGAGTGTGCTGAGAGATGCTAAATTTCGCTGCGGAAAGTAACAAAATGAGCAGTTCTTTACCGTATTGCGTAGTTTGTACCTCTTTTAGATTGTTTAATAATAAAGCTTCTGGGGTAAAAGAAAACACAAATTTTTGATGGTCTTGTTGTTTTTGTGATTAATCACTATGCTTTATTTATGTTCAATTTGTAACAATGAAAATACATCTTGCATATCAGATATTTACATTACGATTCATAACAGTAGCAAAATTACAGTTATGAAGTAGCAACGAAAATAACTTTATGGTTGGGGGTCACCACAACATGAGGAACTGTATTAAAGGGTCGCGGCATTAGGAAGGTTGAGAACCACTGACTTAGCAGAACTAACTTTAATTACCTTGAAATGCTTACCCAGGCAACAGTGAAGATGATGGTGTAGAGAGGTTTGATGGAAGTGCATACTATATGTCATATAACTAATAATAAACATGTAATACAGTCAGAGGTAGGACCCAATCTCTGGTTATCTTTGATCAGCATTGAATAGTGTAATTAGTAGGGAATTCTTAAAGTAGGAGTCAAGTTGTAGCGCACTTATTGGCTGAACAGCTTGATCTGTAAAGCCCAGCGTGTCACAATTTTCTCTCCTAGGTACAACATCTTGCCATAATGATAAAGTACAGCTCCAGCTTCCAAAAGAACTTCAGAACAGTCATTCCTGGCAAGTGAAAACTCTTGGTATGTGTAGTTTCCCATGTTCAGCTGCTTTCTGTTCTCCCAACAAATGGGGTGAAGTCTAAGACACCTGGTTGTGCCCGTTTTTCCCCTTAGATGCAGCTGGGGAAGAAGCAGGTGACTGTGACTATGCTGTGGACAATGGAACACAGACACTAACTATTCTCTACATCAGCTGCACTAAACCGGAGGTAATGGCCACGCTGCCGGGTTAAAGTCTCTGTAGTGAATGCTTCTTGGGCTGATGTGAAAACGTTGTTTGCTTTAAATGGGTTCATTTTTCCACTGTAAAAACTGCTGCGGGCAGGGTTGAACTGTTAACCTCAGGTTTGGGGAGTATAAGCTGGTCAAGTTCACATGAAACACTACTTATCTTCTTGGGAGTGATCTTGGCTGGGCTGATTTGGCATTTAGAGCTTGGGGAGGACTTGAGCCTGGCGAGAAAGGCATGTGCTTCTCTGTCTTGTTATTCTCCACCACCACTTGTGGGCTTAGCTGGTGGCTTTCAAGGGCAGGCTATAGCTAGCAAGCTCTACTGAGCACAGTGGATCTTAGTTCTAAGTACGTGCGCATATAATCTGGCCGCAAAAGCCAGTCGAATCCGACTCTAGGGTTGCGGTGCTCATCTCAGTTTCAAAGCCGAAGAGCCAGCGCTGTCCAAAGACATATGCGCATATAATCTAGTCATGCCATGTATGTTTGTGAAGATGGGAGTGTAAGATGAGGCAAGCTTGTTAAATGGTCTCTGATTCATACTTGTGTAAATGGGGGTGTCCACAAGGCCATTAAGTAAATTTAGACTCCACTGCCCTGCTATATCTGGTATTTTATGAGTGTATTGTTCTTGTGCAGGGAGGTTCTATTGGGTTTTGTGTTAATAGCTCTCATGTTGCTGTCCTTGACTGAGGGTCAAACTAGATATTTGGGGAGAAGGATGCATCTGTATTAGATGCACATCTGCTAGGGTTGCCAGCCCTCCCCCCTGCTGGAGGTGGGGGATCCCCTACTGCCAATCAGCTGGCGGGCTGGGGGGGGACTTACCAGGAGCAGGAGGGAGGCTGAGGCCACGTTACCGGCAATGTGGCGATGTCACCTTTGGTGTGTACTGGAAGTTATGCCATGTCATTGTTGTCAGAGCAACACTCTGGCATTTGGGCAAAAACTCTATGGTAGAAGCCATTCTTACCATAGAGTATCGGACTGTCAGGTGTCAGACCATCACTGCAGTGTTGCAATGTGGTGTCACCTCTGGTGCATGCTTGAAATGATGTCACCATGTTGCCAGCAACATAGCCTGTGCCTCCCTCCCACTCCTGGTAAGCCCCATCCGTCCCCCACCTGGAGGGACCTACCAACCCTGACACCTACTCCCTCACATCAGAGGACAGGTATATAAACAGGGCAGGTAAAGGGAGCCAAGCCCTGCCCCCTCCCTTACTGTGTTGCCTGCAATTGCTTTCAACCTCTTAATTCCTTGTTGCATTCAATTGCTTTTTGTAAGGTGGCAGAGTTGTGTCTCTCTCTCCTGCACTCTTCAAGGTTCCTCCTTGGTAAGAGATCTAGCGTAGATCTGTTCCCTCCTCCCCCTCTGCCTTGGCTTTCTGTAAAGGTAAAGGTTCCCCTGCTCGAAAGCCAGTCGAGTCCGACTCTAGGGTTGCGGTGCTCATCTCAGTTTCAAAGCCGAAGAGCCAGCGCTGTCCGAAGACGTTTCCGTGGTCATGTGGCCGGCATGACTAAACACCAAGGCGCACAGAACACTGTTACCTTTCCACCGAAGTGGTACCTATTTATCTACTTGCAATTTTTTGCTTTCGAACTGCTAGGTTGGCAGGAGCTGGAACTAGAGACGGGAGCTCACTCCGTCAGGCGGCACACTCGGGTCTGTAGTTAGGCACTAAAAAGGCCAGGCATGCGTCAGTCTCCCGAGGGGACTGTATGCCTCTTAGTTGCCCTCTTCTGTAGTTGGTCAGCTCTGGTGCCTCTCAGGACGTTTCCCCCAAATATGAGTGCCCTGAAGATCTGGGGGACAAGTCACAGCAGCTCTCTTCTAACATAGACTTTGAGTTGGTGTTCGTTCTGAGGAAGCTCCTGATGTTCTAATTTGCTGTCCCTGGCCTATTGTCTGCAATAGCCTGCCAAGCGCCATCTACAACTTAAGGTGACGGAGCCTTCGAAGAACCTGACTTACAGAGTGGACTGTGAAGCTCTCCAGGCTGATGAAACCTCTTTGCCAAGAACTGTGGCCAGCACTACAAACTGTACCAAGGATTTCATGGCTGTAAGTATGTTTGTCATAGTTGGTCTGCTAAACTATCTAGGGGGAAACTATACTATATGAAGATAATATTCTGGGTTGATTTAGTGTGATTGAAGTCAATCTTATTGTACTGGTTGGTTGGTGTTCCTTTAAGGCTGAAATGGGTTAGTGTTGTAAGTGCCTCTTCTATCTTGGAGTGTTGTCACTGTGGCTACTTCCAAAACAGGGTGACTTTCTGTGGCAGTCTGGTTGCTGATGGAATTCTGTAATTCTGTGTGGAATCACCCATGCAAGGGAAATTCTAGGTAGCCTAGGGCAATTCTCCCCCCCACCACCGTTAGCCATGATTTCCCTTTCATACCTGATATTCATTGGAGTCCTGCCCCACTGTGTTTTCACGTGATCCTTAGGATTTTCCGCCTGCCCTGTTTTAATTTTCCCTTTTCTGAGAAGTGTGGGGGAACACTGCATATAATAACACAATACCGGCTTCCGGTTTATGGCGGCGTGCTAGCAGACTCGCCTCCCGGAGAAGGGACCCTGGCCATGGAACTTATAAGAGGTTGCCTCTTCGACAGTGGAACGCCGGAGAATTGAGGCGCCTCTTCATTCCGACGGTTCTCCGTGCTGAGAGACCGTATGGACTTAGTGACACTGACCGGGACAAGTGCAGGAGATCACGCGGCAGAAACGAAATGAAAGCGAGGTCGAAGGACCGATTTGTGCCTTTGAGACTTTTGTTATAGGATGATTGGGGGTACTGTTACTAAACAGTTAATCTAAGCTTCAAAGAAAAAGTGCTATAAATGTTTGACTCAGTTTATAAAGGGATCAATTATGAGAAGACTCGATGTATCTAAGCTAGTTGGAGGATCTCCTCTCTTGGGGTTTTAGTTAGTAGTGGGTTCTTTACTTTCTCCCATATATGTAGTTTCCCCTCCCCTTTTTTCTGTTGTAGTTTTTTGTAGTGATAAAAAAATTAAAAAATCCCCTCCGGGGGCTCAAAAAAAATAACACAATACCTTTAAAAACTGCATTTTTGCAAAACCTCCAGTGGTCCCTCCCTCCCTAAGAAATTAGCTGAGCTGTGAGTAATCCTTTTCAGAAATATGTCTATGAGTAATGCTGCATAGGAATAACACAATAGCTTTACAACCCTCTTGAAAAATCTCTTTTAACAGTCCCCTGCCCTCTGTCCAAAGGCAGACAGTTCTCCTCTGTTGATTGCCTTGCTGCATGAAACTACTCTTGCTAATAGCATTCTGCCTAGGAAAAAATTGATCTTTAAAAGTTTACAATCAGATTTTTTGTGTGTGGGGTGAACAGGCTGCTAATGGTCTGAGTACAGACCATTATGTGGAATGTAAAGAAAAGGAAAAACAGCATTGATGGCTGAAACATGGAAAATCCTTAATATGGAAGTAGCCCCTGAGAGCAAAAGCACAATTGTCATAGAATTTGAAGCACCTTGTGATTTTTTCCCCCTGCATCACAACCTGTCATGATTGAAAGACTGGATATGCCCCTTTTGGGGTGCCCTCAAGAAAGCCTTTGTTCAGACACCTGGTGCCAGATTGTATTTCCCCAGGGAGCAGGCCGCCCGCCAACTGGGGGAGGGCATACCTCCCAGGACAGGCCCCTGATGCTGGGGGCTGGGCTGGTAAGTGGCTGTCCTCATCTGGCCCACTGGGTGATGGGCTGGGGGAACGGGGGCAAGGCTAGAAGAAGGGGAGACACATGAGGGCAGTGAGATTACCTGTCCCCGCAGGTGGTCGTGGGTTCCTTTCTTGTAGGATCTGAGCTGTAATGTATCCAGTCCCGACCGTGTGGCATAATAGGGCTCCACGTGGTCAGGCGAAACCTTTGAGCTATGGAGAGAAAAAACCTGGGAGCACTTTATCATGGACCGTATTACACAATCTGTCGCTGACAACCTATAAATCCACCACATCACATTCCAAATTCGTCAGTACGTGGTTCGGGTATGTACAATATATGACTGAAAGAGGAATTCTTCCATCCAATCCGGCATACATGGATTGGCTTCATTTTGCATAATCAGATACACGACTAAATTCATTTAATTGTAAGACTTCTTAGCTTATTCTGGGAAAATGTGCAGTCTATTATTAGCTCTATCAAACCATATTATAAAGATACTTGGTTATAATGTTTGTATTACGGCAGGTGGTCATGGGTTCCTTTCTTGTAGGATCTGAGCTGTAACGTATCCAGTCCCGACCGTGTGGCATAATAGGGCTCCACGTGGTCAGGCGAAACCTTCGAGCTTCGCTGATGAGAACAATGGACTATGCGGGTCCTAGCCCGCACCAATCAGAGGGCTAGGCTCCCTGCTGAGAGCCTGTGGAACTCTTGGCCATGATAAATAGCCTATTGTGGTGTGTGGGGTGTGTGTTTGGGGTGGTGGTTTCACTGGGAATATAAGCCAGCCTGCGAGTCGGTTAAAATTGTCTTGTTCTGCACTAATAAAAGTACGAGAGCTGTAATCACTCATCAGTCTCAATACTTTTCAAGAGCACTGCCCTGCCTGCTTGCAGTTTGGGCCAGAGGTACCTCTAGGGTTGCCAGGTCGGGGGTGGAAAAAACCTGGAGACTTTGGGGGTGGAGCCAGGGGAGGGCGGGGTTTGGGGAGGGGAGGGGCCTCCGCATGGTGCAATGCCATAGAGTCCACCCTTCAAAGCAGCCATTTTCTCCAGGGGAGCTGATCTCTGCCAGATGGAGATCAGCTGTAAAAGCTGGAGATCTCCAGGCCCCACCTGGAGGCTAGCAACCCTAGGTGCCTTGGATGCAGGGCATTGCCTTCACTTTTCTATATAGCATCAGTGATCCTCTCAAGTCCTGGAAGGACGCTTTGGACTAAGGTGCTTCCCCCTCTTTTCTGCCTGCAGGTTGTCTTCCCAAGACTCATCCCCAGTTTGCATGATGAACATATGGTATGTAGCATGGTTTCAATGAGTGGCCTTTCAGTGTTTTGGAGTCCCAGTGGGCAGGAACGCTGCAGGCTACTGGGTATGCTGGGACTTGAGTGGCAAAAGAAGGCCCCCTCCCAGGCTGTGGCTCCCCAAGTGCTGAGCGGTGGCGAACATGTTATGGGCAGATGAACTGATTGCCTGGTGAGAGGAAGTTCTTGTGGAGTAATAGGAAATACGATCCTTAAAGCGGAAGACCTAAATATTTTGGTTAATAGGCATTCTCTGAACTTACATCCTGGTTTTAGGGAGGAAGAGCTATTAATTCTCAAAACATACCACCAGCATATTAGCAGGAAAAAGAGGAGTTGCTGGGGCAGGTTTATGGAAGGCCTGGTGTGCACTGGTGTTGTAAGACCACCTTCCCTTGGTCTTCTTCGTCGAATGGGAGCTTGCAGTACATAGACCAACGGCAAGCGATGCAGATATATGTGCCAATAGGATGTGCAACTTCCTGTAGTAGTAAGCCTGAGTGAAGCAATCTGAAGGGTAGCCTTTTAAATGTTCCTGTGTAGCAAAGCAAAAGAAATAGTTTCTTCTTGCATCTCAGTAGAAATCTCAGCAGAAGGCTTTGGATTTTACAGTGCAAAGGGTTTTTTTAGATCTCTTGCAAAGCCTTTTTAAGGAAGGCAGCCTGAAAAAAGAAGGGCTTTATTGTCATGTCCCGATTCAGGGTCATGTTTCCTGCAGTAATTGGGCTTTATGTTCAGGTGGCGGAGGCTCCAATGGAGTGGGTTGTATCAATAGAAGACAGAATGAAAACGCACACTCTAAACCTTCGGCAAGCCATGCAGCAGGGGTACACCTTCCTAACGGATGGCAATAATATCATCTTTCAAGTCTCTTTCGATGCTACTGGGGTCGCTGCTTATAAGGTACTAACCTGTTTGTAATTGAGCACATAGACCTCTAGGGAATTATGTTTGTTGTCCTTGTAATTGTATATAATTTTCACACATTAGGTATGTAAAAATAATCATACACAAGTTCACTTAATTATTAGATTTATTTAGCATCCTATTACAGTGTTTTTTTTCAGGTATGTAAAAATAATCATACACAAGTTGACTTAATTATATTTAGCATCCTATTACAGAGTTTTTTTCCGCTGTTGCTGGTGCCTCTTCAGAAACAGTGGCCTAATGCTGCTGACAAAGACCAGTGCTTACTAGCAATGTGCCTTAAACCCAGTGAACTCTACTTCCCAGTAACCGTGGTTGAACCTTTAGTGTGCATTCCAAGGGAGAGGCACATATGTTGAAAGCTCGCTTTGCCTTGGACTAGTGTATTTGGGGATTTTATTCTCATGGTACAGAATGCCCCCAAACCCCATGTAATAATATGAAACTGTATGATGGGTAGCCACCTTCTCACCTTGCAAGATCTAGCATCTGAGCCCTCTTAGAGATAAATACTGTGATACTTCAGGTGAGCATCACCCCCTAGTGGTTATTCTGTCACCATCCATTCCCAGTGCACAGAAACATCTTGCTGTGGCCCTGAACAAATGAGAAACGATCTGTGCCTTGAGCAGGGTTACCCCTGAAATGGAAGCTAAGTGGGCCTTGGGATTTGGCAATGGGCAGGGCACAGCAAGGACTGATGGCGGTTAATGTCTTGTAGCAAGACGGTGGTGTGCTGTACACAGCGGCCCTGAAGCTTTCCTATGGGCCTCCGGAACGACGGCTGACTGTGGAATCAAGAATGGTTTGTGCTCCAGGTAAGACCCTTACCAAAGGCATGGGCCCTGGTCTCAGGTGTGCTTGCAGTGGGACTTCTCCCAAGTAAGACTCAGTCTGAACACGGCAGGAAACCGTGGCTTGTACTGATGGGGGGGGGTCTTAGGGTTCAAGCACTGTTTGATGTGCCACGACAGTGTTTATTAGATCAGCTGAGATGTTAGTGGAGCTAGGGATGGAAATGCGTGCCAGTGCATGTGAAATGGATGTAATGCCTTGTCCAGATGCCAGGCTGGCAGCTGCCACTTTGAGGTGTGGATCTCTCCAGACCGGCAGGGAGCCCCCAATAGCCATTAGCACTTGGCCTACAGATGCGTTAGCAGCAATTAGGGCGGTATGTCACATGACTTTCAGAGTTCACTCTGCCAGCTTTTAAGTAATTGCATTTTTGAACTCTGATGGTGGCGGGGCATCTTTGCTCCTGGCAGCGCACTGTGCAGTGGCTCATTTGTGTGACCCCCCTCCCAGTAGTTCACACTATTGCTGTCTAAGCTCCATCTTGGATATGACGTTGGACACCAGCTCTGTTGAACATATGTTCACTTCCTGCGGCCCTGGGGCCAGGGCCTCCATTGAGGCAGACCAGTTGCCATACCTGGCCTGTCAATTTGGACAATGTGCTAGACCTTTGGCTGTGATGTGGTGTGATGTCTGAATGGAAGGATCAGCTCTTTGTAGGGGCCTGTACAGCAACTCTGCTCTCAGAGGGTGCCTTCCTCCACTACAGTGTGATCGGCCCCATTGCCTGCTTGCAGGCATTCCCAGTAGCTGCACCCATTTTCTGGCATAGCCTCCTAAAGGAGGTGAACCAGGCTGCCCTTTTGATCCAAAGAGGCTTTAGGATGGAGTTGTTCAGCCAGGTAGTTAGAGTTGCCTCATAGGGCTCGAGGAGGGAGATGAATCTGCTGACTGTTGGGCATCACTGATCTCATATCTGTCTTATGGCTAGGGTTCGTGTTCACATAGATTGGTCTTATATCGTTTCCCTTGGGCCCTGATACTTAGGAGAAAGGTGGGGCTTTCACATACCATTTTGGTATCATGGAAAATGGAGCCAAATTATGAAAACTCACCTCTCTGTTCAGGCCCAGCAACATGTAACTCCACACACATGATGATTGCTATCCCAGCTTTCCCGGGAATACTGTCTGCCATCAACCTAGACAATAAGAACATTCCACTGAGCCAACGTCAAGCTGATGGAGTCACTGTGGACCTAAGAAGGGGTGTGAAGCTATATATCAACAAGAAGATCCTAAAGTCTAGGGTAAGAGCTTGCAGTTGAAGGACACGTACCCTGTGATGATGGGGAAAATACAAGATCTGGGGCAATTCTATGCAACCCAGGAATCAACTGAAGGTCTACAATTGAGGAGTTGAGCTCATTTGTTACGAGGACCAGATTTGATATAAATGTTAATTTGTTGGGCTTGGCTATGTGTCCCATGAAATATAAGATGAGGTATCAGATACGAACTTCATAAAGATGATTTCAGGTGCCAAATGGCAATAGGAGGTGAATGACAATAGTAAGCTTGATTGGTTGGATTAGGTGTGATATGCAGAGGGGTAGTGGGTGTGGAGATACCAGCACTGGGAATGAGACAGGAAACTCAGGTCTCAATTATATCTTGGGGGATTCAGTCCAGGACGATGCATATATAATGAAATAGACATAGGTCTGTTGAAGGACACGTACCCTGTGATGATGGGGAAAATACAAGATCTGGGGCAATTCTATGCAACCCAGGAATCAACTGAAGGTCTACAACCGAGGAGTTGAGCTCATTTGTTACGAGGACCAGATTTGATATAAATGTCAATTTGTTGGGCTTGGCTATGTGTCCCATGAAATGTAAGATGAGGTATCAGATACGAACTTTATAAAGATGATTTCAGGTGCCAGATGGCAATAGGAGGTGAATGACAATAGCAAGCTTGATTGGATTAGGTGTGATATGCAGAGGGGTAGTGGGTGTGGAGATACCAGCACTGGGAATGAGACAGGAAACTCAGGTCTCAATTATATCTTGGGGGATTCAGTCCAGGACGATGCATATATAATGAAATAGACATAGGTCTTTCGTTAGAAGCCCCAGTGTCGCTGACCTAGGAGTAGAGGTTCTCTTACGAAGGCATTTCAGTGGGAGACTAGAAAGAGACTGCTGAAATGCAATTGATAATGAAGCTCAAGACAATGCATCCTCCTAGTTGTCCTGTCTCATTATCAATGTGCGCTGTCATCATTTTGCCTCTGAAATCACTCCATTCTTGAAGAAGTAAGGACCAATCCAAATGTTCTAATTCCTAGTCACGGTCTTTTTGAAAAATTTGTTTTTGGGGTTTTTTTTTGAAAAATTTGTTTGGTTTTTTGAAAAAATGGCTCTTATTCTACTAATGTATCAAAACCACTAAAAAATGGCTCTTATTCTACTAATGTATCAAAGCAACCAGAAAAGATTTTAATGGATTGGAGTAAATCAATGTTCAACTTGCCTCATATGAATTTTTTAATTTACTGTGTTGAATTATTTTATTTTTATTTTATATTTAATTTTAATTTTTTACTTTATTGTTTTAAATTTAATTATTTTTAATAACCCAGCTCACTCCCTCTATCACTCTTCTTACATTACTGCAGTCAAACGAAACATTTAAAGAGACACACACACCAAAACATGAAATCATTACAAGGAGTCATCCAGGAAGCCCGGGAACTGTTCCGCTATCGCTCTCTCAACGACCTTACCCAGGAACGGGAGGTTTGACACTGGGTGGTGGTTGGCTGGATTCAAAGGATCCAAGGATGGCTTTTTAAAGAGTGGTCTCTTCATCGCCTCCTTTAAAGCCCCTGGGAAGGTCCCGGGGGCCCGTATTCCATCGCCACAGCCTCCACCAGCCATGATGGACACGGGTCAAGGGGGCAGGTGGTGATCTTCATAGCATCCAGGGATCCTGTCCACCTCATCCCGGGAGAGCCGGCTGAAATGGTCCAAAATAGGACCAGAAGATGGCCACGGGGCCTCCAGTTCACTTACTACATCAATCATGGCTGGCAAGTCCTGGTGGAGCGACAAGATTTTATCCACAAAATAGCTCACAAATGCCTCACAGCTAAGAGCCAATTTACTATTTGTTTCATTCCCTTGCGAAAGGGAAGTTAATGACCTGATTATTCTAAACAATTGAGCCGGGTGTAAGCTTGGGGACACAATGGAAGACTCCTAGAACTCTCTCTTCGTGGCTTTCATTGCCATCTCAGAGGCTTTCATCAGTGTCCTTGCAGCTGTGTCCTGAGTATGCCGCCGCCGCTGCACGCACTCCAGCCAGGCTGAGGATGGCAAGGGTGACCCTCTTTGCTAAAGCACCTCTTGGATGCTGTTTTGCTTCCTGACTTTCATTTATAGACTGCCTTTCTCAGTCAGATTTTTAAAGTAACAATACGATAAAGGAGCACCATATAAAATCTGGATTAGAGAAATTGGAAGGTAGGGCAGTAAAGCATGTAGGTTATTATTATTGGTGGTGACCCAAGCAATTTACAATTTTGTGTGCGTTGCAGATCTACAGAAATGACGGCTGTTCCAGCTTCCAGTCTTACGCTTCCTTCCTCCAACTGAGTTTCAGCTTCCATGGCGAAATGGCAACCATGACTACCTACCCAGAGTGTCCTTGTGAGCCAAATGCACCACTGGGTAAGGGAGGAACACAGCCTATGCTATGTGGTCTGCAGCATTCCACCTCTCCGGAGTGGGGTCTCAGCTGTGGAAGTGTGCGGAACGCTGTAACCTTCCCACCGAAGTGGTACCTATTTATCTACTTGCAATTTCTTCCTTTCGAACTGCTAGGTTGGCAGGAGCTGGAACTAGAGATGGGAGCTCACTCCATCATGCGGCACACTCGGGTCTCGAACTGCTGAACTACCGACCTTCCACAGCCTGCAGTTCAGCGTCTTAACCACTTGAGCCACCGCAGCTTCTTCATACTTCTGCGTATACTCAACCAAGGAGACTTTGGTCTTCCTGAAAGGCTTGTGCGCAAAGAACTTTTTGCTGAATAGCAGATGGCAGATGGCTTTAGAAAAGGGCTATCCTCAGAGGTCATTTCGGGGGGGATCGCGAGGGATCGCAGTTCCCCCGGGTGAGGTACGGGGGGTGGGGCACATGACGAAGCCCCGCCCCCTGCTTCTGGCCGCCCCGCTTCCGGCCCTCATTCAGCCAGGAGGAGGCAGGAGAAGAGGGAGGGTGAGTTGCTTCCTCCCTGCCTCTCCCCACCCCTGCCTGCCTGGGGCCAGGGAGGGCCTTCGCGGGGCTTCCTTGCACTCCCGCTGGCCTTGCAGGTCCACCGCCGGACCCCTCATGGGGCTCGGCAGTGGAGCTGCAAGGCCGCCGGCAGTGGCCGGGACCGTTGGGGCGGGGGGTGTGGCCTTATGACACACTTCCGGTGATGTCAGGGGGGGTGGCATATGCTAATGAGTTCCCCTAGCTCTTTTTCTACGAAATGACCCCTGGCTATACTTATAGTTGAAATAGGATTCTGTCCCGGGCTGGAAATGCAGGCAGCAACCTGCTAACCGAACGGCTGGATCCAAGTCCAGGAGCGCCTTAGAGACCAAGAAGCTTTGGAGAGTCAAAGCTCCCTTCCTCAAACAGTAAATCTCGTTGGTCTCTAAGGTGGTGCTGGACTTGCATCCAGATGTTCTGCTGCAGACCAACATGGCTGCCCTCTGAAACGGCTGGAATTAAGCAAGGTGGGTTTAAAAGGTACCAGATCTGCTTAACAGTGTCTAGAGCAGGGGTGGCCAAACTTGCTTACCGTAAGAGCCATTTAGAGTAAACGACAGCTGTTTGACAGCCACAAGACATGAGCAAATATCACACACGTTTTAATTGAAAAAAAATGCAAATTTGCTTTTTAGTGGCCTTAAATGAGACTGTCAAATAAAAAGGGGTAAAAACAGATATTGCTAATGATATTTGTTTGTCCAACGGTATGTATTTGTTTGCTAATGATATTTATTTGTGTGAGAGGTGGAAAGAAAAAAATGAAAGAAGTGGAAAGAGAGGGAGAGAAATAAAGAAATCAAATCAATGGGGGAGGGAGGAGGGAGGAAGAGAGAAAGGGAGACAGAAAGAAAGGTGGAAAGAAAGAATTCACACATGGAATTCACTGCCACAGGAAGTGGTGGCGGCTACAAGCATGGATGGCTTCAAAAGGGAATTAGATAATCACAAGAGGGGGGAGTGGGAGGGCTTCTAATGTCCTGGCCCCACTGGGGGACCTCCTGATGGCACCTGGTATTTCTGGCCACCGTGTGATACAGAGTGTTGGACTGGATGGGTCTTTGGCCTGATCCAACATTGGCGTCTCGTGTGTTCTTATGTTCTTAAAGCAAATAGATGGGGGAGGGAGGGAGGAAGGGGGGGAAAGAGAGAGAAAGAGAGATGGAGAAAGACAAAGAAAGCAAATTTCAGTCGCCCTGCTAGGAGCTGCACAATATGTCTGAAAGAGCTGCATGCAGCTCCTGAGCCACAGTCTGGCCACCCCTGGTCTAGAAGAAATTACCTTGTCGTGACTAACCAGAAAGGCGCTACACCTCAGACAACTCTTCCCTCCTTCACTTCCTTCAAAGAGTTCAGAGCAATGTTTCCAACCAATAGTCAGAGAGGACCGGAAAACTCACCCAAGGACATCTATAGCTACTGGCACAAAGTTTTCTCCTGTAGTGATTCCGCTCTCTCTGCTTTGTGACAGCTGCCACCTGCACAGAAGATGGACACATGGATTTTGAAATATCTAGCAGCAGCACGAAGCCTGCTCTGAACCTGGATACAGTCCAGCTCAAAGATCCCACCTGCAAGCCAGTCTTCAGGTCACCTTCTGGTGACACGGTTCAGTTTCACGTCCCCCTCAATGGTTGTGGGACCAGGCAAAGGGTGAGTCCTTTTGTCAACCCCTGTAGTCACAAGTAACTCCGTCTAACCATTTGGAAGCTAACTTTTCTCCCCATGTGTTCAGTTTGACGGTGATAAGATGGTGTATGAGAATGAAGTGAGTGCCCTGTTAATGGACCTTCCACCACGCAGGATATCTAGAGACAGTGAATTCAGGTAAATGATTCCAGTGAATTCAGGTATATGATTCCAGTAGAACTGATCATAAATCTGGCAGTTGAGGGTCTATTGAATTAGCAATTCTGCCTTCTGTATTCCATTTATGTGTTATATAAAGTGTGGGCCTGCACTTTATTCCTGATCTTCTGTGTATGAACAGCTGTGCATCTAACTGCTTGCAGTGGCCTGGGGGCGGGGGGAAGCCTAGCCTTGTAGTGCTGATCCTGGCCTTTGTGAAAACCTTTTCAATAGTGGAAAGGGGTATACATTCTTCCCGAGTCAAAGTGTTCCCCAAGTGGAAATACGGGAGGTTGCAGGGTGTTCCTTAAACTAGGAATTGAGCTCGTGAGCTGGGAACGACTTGTACGTTTCTCAAAATAGCATGGGATGTGGCGTTCAGTCCATCTGCTTTAAATCTGAATGGAGCCTCTTGAAGTGACCCTAATGCTTGAGGTCTTGTCTTTCAGGCTGACCGTGGTCTGCTTCTACAGTAGTGACGATGCTTCACTGAATGGCAAAATAATCAGCCTTCCTCCTCCAGAGTTGGTCATAGACCAAGGCCCTCTCTCCTTGATCCTCCTCCTCTACCCAGGTGAGGTTTCCTGAGAGGCACAGGGCTCTAATGTTTAATTAGAAGAGGAGGTTCTCCCCAGCTTGCTTAGGCAAGCTTTGAGTGGCAGCGGGAGAAGAATTTAGAATCCCACTGGCATTGTCTGTGCTGCTCTGTCCATTCTGGGGAAAACCCAGAAGTGATATAGGGTTGCTCTAGGAATCACACTACGTTAAAGCTAGAGGGTTGTTCTAGGAATCACTCTCGGTTGCCAGGTTCCCCTGGCCACCAGTGGGGGGGTAGGGTTGCCAGATCCTGGAGATCTGGGGGTGGAGCCTGGGGAGGGCAGGGACCTCAGTGGGGTGGCTCAGCACCGTAGAGCCCACCCTCCAAAGTCTCCATTTTCTCCAGGGGACCTGATCTCTGTAGTCTGGAGATGAGCTGTAATTCCAGGGGATGCCCAGGTCCCACCTGGAGGTTGGCATCGCTAGGTAACACCATGAGTTCCCAGCAATTCCTAAAGCTACCCTATAACACTTCAAGGTTTCCCCAGGAGGGACACCAACAGCACAAATGATGTTACAGCCCCCCAGCCCCGCATCCACTTTGGGGTCAGGATGGAAGCAGTTTTTCTCCAGGCCGGTTTGGCCAGGGATCCTGGAAGTTTTTTTGGAATCTTCTGGGCGTGGAACAGCGGTCACTGCAGGTGTGGGAGGGGGTAGGTGTTTGTGAATTTGTTTGTGAATTTCCTGCATCGTGCAGGGAGTCAGACTAGATGACCCTGGAGGTCCCTTCCAACTCTATGATTCTATAGCCTGGAAAACCCTCTATGCAGAGGGGATATCGCATTGGCAAGTTATATGTTGGGCGATCCACTTGGGTTCAAGTGCTTCAAAGTAAAAACAACAATAAAATAAGCCATGGACATAGAAAACAGCACAATGTCCAGCAACTTAAATGTTACTCATGAAATGGTCCTTGGGCTAGAAGTGAGCCGTAGAAGTCTCTAAAAATGGAGAGCCCTCTTTTAAAAAGCCTGGGTGGGAAATGTGTGGCCTTGGTGTCTCCTAGGGCAGCAAGGCAGAGGAGGCCGCTGAGCTTCAAGGGAAGCCAGGGCTTTCAGTGGCAGCGTTTCTCAGGTCACCGGCAGTCAGGGCTTGGGCAGAGAACTGGCCGTGGTGGAGCTGGGCAATCCGGGAGAAGGCGGTGGCTTAAACACGTCCGCTGTGTATGCAGATAACTCCTACCACCAGCCTTACAGTGACAGTCGGCATCCAGTTGTAAAGTATCTGCGGCAGCCCATCTTCTTGGAGGTCCAAGTCCTTAACCGCGACGATCCCAACATCCACCTGGTGCTTGATGACTGCTGGGCAACACTGTCTCCAGATCCTACCTCCCTCCCACGCTGGAACATTGTGGTGGATGGGTAAGAAGGGGAAATACAAGCCTTATTGGCACATTTTTGAAGTCAGGGGGAGGTAGGAAAAATGCAACTCTGGAGCAATGGCTTGCATCATAAGGTCATAAACCGCACCAGTGGCCACCTCGAATAATTTCATCACGCCACGGGAGACAGGGTGGTGCAGTGGGCAGAGTGGCGGGCAAGGACCCTGGGTGACCCAGAGTGAGCCGTAGAAGTCTCTAAAAATGGAGACCCCTCTTTTAAAAAGCCTGATTGGGAAACATGTGGCCTCGCTGTCTCCTAGGGCAGCAAGGCAGGAGGCCGCTGAGCTTCGAGGGAAGCCAGGGCTTTCAGTGGCAGCGTTTCTCAGGTCACCGGCAGTCAGGGCTTGGGCAGAGAACTGGCCGTGGTGGAGCTGGGCAATCCGGGAGAAGGCGGTGGCTTAAACACGTCCGCTGTGTATGCAGATAACTCCTACCACCAGCCTTACAGTGACAGTCGGCATCCAGTTGTAAAGTATCTGCGGCAGCCCATCTTCTTGGAGGTCCAAGTCCTTAACCGCGACGATCCCAACATCCACCTGGTGCTTGATGACTGCTGGGCAACACTGTCTCCAGATCCTACCTCCCTCCCACGCTGGAACATTGTGGTGGATGGGTAAGAAGGGGAAATACAAGCCTTATTGGCACATTTTTGAAGTCAGGGGGAGGTAGGAAAAATGCAACTCTGGAGCAATGGCTTGCATCATAAGGTCATAAACCGCACCAGTGGCCACCTTGAATGATTTCATCACGCCACGGGAGACAGGAGACAGGGTGGTGCAGTGGGCAGAGGGGCGGGCAAGGACCCTGGGTGACCCAGGCTTGAAGTTCGCTGGGGGACCTTGGTCCTGTACCTCAGGCTGGCCTACCTCACAGGGTGGTTGTGAGCAAATGGAGGTGAGGAAAATGATGTTCTAAAAGCAGCTTTTGAGTCCCAGCTGGGGAGAAAAGTGTGATGTAAATATAAATACATGCGTGCGTAGAGGCCTACTGCCCCTTCTTTGTACCCTGGGGTCTGTTTCCAAACACTACCCATCGCTACATGTTTCTCTGAATAGGATTCAGCTTGAAAGGGTTATAGTGATGCTATGTTAAGGTCATGGTCTTTGCATAGAAGAACTAGAGAACTGGCAGTGAGACCTCGGATAGTCCCGGGCATCTAACCTACCCATTAGAATTGAGTCTTGCTTTCCCCAGAAATTAGTCTCATCAGGCTTGATTAACAAGGATGTGCTGAGTTGTACATCTGGGTAACAAAAATGAGGAACACGCGTACTGGATGGGGGGATACACTTCTGGGTAGCAGTATGGGTGGGCTGCAGCCCTGCAGCTAAGGAGTTTGGAGGCCGCTGAGCTTCGAGGGAAGCCAGGGCTTTCAGTGGCAGCGTTTCTCAGGTCACTGGCAGTCAGGGCTTGGGCAGAGAACTGGCAGTGGTGGGAGCTGGGCAATCCGGGAGAAGGCGGTGGCTTAAACACGTCCGCTGTGTATGCAGATAACTCCTACCACCAGCCTTACAGTGACAGTCGGCATCCAGTTGTAAAGTATTTGCGGCAGCCCATCTTCTTGGAGGTCCAAGTCCTTAACCGCGACGATCCCAACATCCACCTGGTGCTTGATGACTGCTGGGCAACACTGTCTCCAGATCCTACCTCCCTCCCACGCTGGAACATTGTGGTGGATGGGTAAGAAGGGGAAATACAAGCCTTATTGGCACATTTTTGAAGTCAGGGGGAGGTAGGAAAAATGCAACTCTGGAGCAATGGCTTGCATCATAAGGTCATAAACCGCACCAGTGGCCACCTTGAATGATTTCATCACGCCACGGGAGACAGGAGACAGGGTGGTGCAGTGGGCAGAGGGGCGGGCAAGGACCCTGGGTGACCCAGGCTTGAAGTTCGCTGGGGGACCTTGGTCCTGTACCTCAGGCTGGCCTACCTCACAGGGTGGTTGTGAGCAAATGGAGGTGAGGAAAATGATGTTCTAAAAGCAGCTTTTGAGTCCCAGCTGGGGAGAAAAGTGCGATGTAAATATAAATACATGCGTGCGTAGAGGCCTACTGCCCCTTCTTTGTACCCTGGGGTCTGTTTCCAAACACTACCCATCGCTACATGTTTCTCTGAATAGGATTCAGCTTGAAAGGGTTATAGTGATGCTATGTTAAGGTCATGGTCTTTGCATAGAAGAACTAGAGAACTGGCAGTGAGACCTCGGATAGTCCCGGGCATCTAACCTACCCATTAGAATTGAGTCTTGCTTTCCCCAGAAATTAGTCTCATCAGGCTTGATTAACAAGGATGTGCTGAGTTCTACATCTGGGTAACAAAAATGAGGAACACGCGTACTGGATGGGGGGATACACTTCTGGGTAGCAGTATGGGTGGGCTGCAGCCCTGCAGCTAAGGAGTTTTGGGGGAGGGGGCCAGGGGGGCCCACCAGCCAATCAAAGTTGATTAAATTAACTTCGATTTAGTTGCTGGGACTCCTAAGCCAGCCCCGGATGCAACCGAGGGGGGAGGGGAGCACCACCAACACCAGGGACAGCCCTGGCACCCTGGAGGAGCCCATGGGTCTTGTGGGCGTGCCAGGGCTATCATCCTGCTCCTGCGTTGGAATGCACAAGATAACTGCTGGAGGTTGTGTGGGGGAGAAGATGCTGTAATGCTTGCCTATTGCTTTTCTCATGAGTCCTGCACCTGTGTTTTGTCTGATGTTCTGCCTGGTTCCCATGGACTGGGCGCGCAACCGTTTCATTAGCCCGCCAGCGGGAATGCTATTCATTGGATCTGTATCTGTTTGAATTTCCTTTATTATGCTTGACCTAACTGTGTATCCCCAGTTCTAACAAAGAACGTGTTTGAGTATGTCTTCAACGCTTTGAAATAAATTTTGCTTTTCTTGAAAACGTGGATTTATTCTCGATGCTTGGGGATCCAACACTGGGCCTGCTCCAACCCAGCGAGGAGCCACCAGCAGCGCCGCCACAGAAGGAGGAGGGAGCGTGAGAGCCCGCCATGGTGGTAGGCTGTAAACCAGCTCTTACAACTCCTGCATTGGTGGGTGTTTCAGAAGGAGCCAGTAACCGGAATTCTCTAGTGTGACCAAGAAACTGAAACAAGAGTAGGGGGCTAGACAGACAAGTCTGCGCTTAATAGCTCAGGAGAAGGTTCAGCCACCGACTCAACAGGGTCCAAATCCCCCATCGCTTTTCTCATGTGACCCCCACCGCCACTCATACTTGTTGGGAACGCTGCACACAGACGTGCCAAGTCCACTGACTATGACTGAGCGAGGCTATTAGGAGAAAAGCCCCAGAGACAAACTTTGAAACCAGAATGCAGCTCCTGACCTTATCCTTATCCAGTATTCTTTATCCTTCAAGGCCTTGAAAATGCAGACTGCACCCTGCCAGGCTGAACCCATGATAGTTCTTCATTTCACCCCCCGTCCCTTGGGAATCAGAGAATCACAGAGTTGGAAAAGGGCCTACAAGCCACCTAGTCAGCACAGGATCAGCCTAGGTCTGTGGTGGCGAACCTATGGCACACATGCCAGAGGTGGCACTCAGAGCCCTCTCTGTGGGCACGTGCCCCGTCGCCCCAGCTGCCCGGGTGGCCCCCAATTGGGCAGTTTGAATGGAGGGCGGGGGCCACGCACGGCAGACGTCGAGCCAGCAGGGGAAGAGAAGCCGGCTGCGCCCCGCTCCGTGGCGACAATACCTTTCGGGGATAAGGGGAGCCTCAATTCCTTGGCCGTCGCCTTGGAAGAGGCTCTCCTCAGCTCCCCAGGCTGAGGGTCTCCTACAGAGACCCCGGGGAGATCCGGGACGAACTCGGACCCCTCCCATCAGCCGGGTCTCAGCGTATCCCCATCAGATGCGTCCGAGTGGCGAAACGCTTAAACCGGAAGTCAAGTTTCCTGCCACTCCTAAAGGGCTTTCTGAAATAGCTTGGCTTCCAGTCTTGAGGCACAACCTACAGGGGCTTAAGGGGGACCTCTAAATGAAGTCTCGGAAGTACTGAAGTCTCAGAGGTACTACTTGCTTTTCTATTTTATTTTTTTTGTAGCTGCGATTATGAGCTTGATGCCTACAAAACGGTGTTCCATCCCGTGAGCCGTGGGGTTGCATATCCCAACTTTCGCCAGAGGTTTGAAGTGAAAGCTTTTGCCTTTGTTTCAGGTGGCAAAGCTCTCCCCAGCCTGGTGAGTAGAACACGTTTGTCGTGGCACATTAGGTGCATTTCCCACTCCCCCACTTCCCTGGTAGAATGTGCACATTGTAGGCTGTGGTGGAATTCTGATCACTAGCTTCCAGGGTTTTCCTCTCAGGGCAGGATTACAATGGATACAGTGGTGCATTATCAATAGTGGATCCATCCCTTGAAATACAGGGTTTGGTACAGGGCTATAGCTGAGTAAAAGTGTGCATGCACAAAAGTCCCAGGTTCAATCTTCTGCACCTCCGGTGAGAACTGCTAGTAGCTGGAACAGAGCTAGCCAGACCCTGTGTAAGGTGACTCCTGTAACACTTGTGCTGTCCCCAGAGTGTCCACATAAGATCTACTCTTCTTGGCATGGAAGCAGGCCCCCGTAGAGACAGTAGGGCATTTTGGGGCTCCGCCCCCTCAAATGTGAGGCACGCCCCACAACAGCTGCTCCCCTGCTCCCCCTCCCTCCTCTCCTCCCCGCTCCCTGTCCTCCTGTGACAGTAAAAGGGCCCTCCAGCAGACCAGCAGGAGCACATGGCATGCCGATCAGCTGGAGACCCTTTAAATCTTGCAGCAAGGGAGGGAGAGGGGCAGCTGCACGCCTTCCCTGAACTCTGAGCGGCAATTTCACCGCTTGGAGTTCATGCGCAGGCAGCCCCCGCTTGAAAAAAAAAATCTAAAGGGAAAGGCATGTGGCCGCCCCTCTCCTTCCCTCTCCCCTGCTGCCCCACAAAATTTCCCCATACCCCACGAACGCAAAATTTCTGGCTGTGGAGCTGCATGGAAAGGTACTAGACACTCAAAAGTGTCTCTTTGTACGGAGAACAAATATGCAAGCTCAGCACTGTGAAAGCGAGCCAGGCCACCGTTTCCCTCCAGCACATTATGCCTCTCTTCAGCTGGGGGACGTTTCTTCACCACTTCATTGCTTGAAGGTCCTTGGAACTCACTTCTCCTTCTTGGGAGACCTTCAGGCCCCCACCGAGCCGGGGCAGACTGGGAAACAGAAAGAGCCCTGGGAGGGGCCACGCCACACCACGCCACCCCCCCTCCACGGAGGAGGGAATTTTTTTTAAGGCAGTCTGCTTGCTGCTCAGTTGCCCTACATGGGGCCCAGGCAGCTGGATCCTTCGCAGCGCTGGCTACTCACCACCACAGCTGCTACAAGGGCAACTGGCTGGCCACGGAGGTGGCTTCAAGGATCTTTCTGAACGGGATGAGGACCGTTCCTCGCTTGGGGGTGGGATGGCCCTGTAGGGGTAGGTGCCCCCCCCTATTCCTGGTAGCCTTAATGTCCAGTCTACCCAGCTACTGAGATATTGTACCCTTTGCTATGGTTTTACCATCTTGGGCTGTTCAGCAAGACTTTTAACGAGACGGCTGGTCTGCAGCTGTACTCCCGTGGTTCCAGCAAGGGAAAGCTGGGCAGGAGACCTGGGATAATACAAGAAATACTGAACAAATTATTTCTCCCCAGGTCTATTTCCACTGCAGTGCCCTCCTCTGTGACAGACTGGGCCCAGATTCCCCTCTCTGCTCAACAAGGTGTCCTCCTTCCAGAAGCAGAAGAGGTAACTGCTATCTGATGCACACTTCCCTGGGAGGAGACCCCCGCTGAACATATAGTAGACATGGACGGGATTGTGCAGTAAGCCTAGATACAGAAAGTGCATTATCTTGGATTCGGAGCTTCTAAGTGCCGCCTAAGTGTTGTTTAACGCTATGAATAGAAACTGAGAAGCTCCCCAGAGAGCCAGGACTGGTTGCAGCCGGGGCTCCCCTCTAAGTTGAGTCAGTGTGAGCCAGCTCACAGTTTTTTTAGTTTCCAGCTCACACATTTTTGTCTCAACTCAGGAAGGATGGCTCCAGAGCCAACTAATTTAGGCAGCAGCCAAATCGCTCCCTCACAACTTTAATGCTGGTAGCTCACAAAGTAGGATTTTTGCACACAGGACTCCACAGCTTAGAGGGAGGGTTGGTGGTGGCACTCGGTCAGTCATCCTCTTTAGCTGAGATCCACCGCTGTTAATGGCCCGTGGTCTTTTGGGAACCAGCCTTGGACGGCTTACGGCCATCTGGACGTGCTAAGCAGAAGCTGCTACTGGTGGGTATCCTCAGTTTGAATGCAAAGTAGAATGGCCTTGAAGGTAGACGCTAGAATTTGGCACTTTCCATGGTCCTTAATCTATTCCATTAAATGCCAACTGAGGTCATCTTCTGTTTTGCAGACTTGGCCGAAGGGAAGAATTCAACAACAGTGACCCTCCCTCGTCCGGTCCTTCTGGTACCAGAAAAGCAGCCTTTGATCAGAGGTAATTGAGCTTGGTGGTACGGATGGCAGGCCTGTAGTCAGGAATTTTTTAGCTGGGGGCACTGGCTAACTGAATCAAAGCCCCAGGTAGAGACAAAGGGAGCCCGGCGCTCCCTCCCTGCACCACTCTGCAAGGGCCCTCGGCGGCAGGAGTGCTCCAAGCTCTCCATGGGGAGCAGCAGCCAGTCCGGGCTGGAGTTCTGGCTGTGGCAGAGCATCCCAGGGAAGGTGTGCTCGCTTCGGCTTCCTGGGCTCCTTCTGTGCGCTCCCTGCCTGTCGAGCACTTTGGGGGAGGGGGCAGCGGGCAGCCTCCTGGCAGTCAGTCAGGGGGCCCTGGCACTAAGTCGGGGGGCAGGGCCCCAAGGGGCCCCACTGTAGCTACAGGCCTGATGGATGGGTTTATGGATACTGGGTCAAGGCTGCCTGCATGACATATACTAGATAACTGACCAGTTCAAAGGCAAGCGATGAGGTGGACTAGTCTTGTTTGCTGTGAAACCTAGAGTCAGGCGCACCCAGTGAAGCTGGCAAGGAACACGTTTTGGGATGAAGACCCGTGAATTACGAGCATTGGCTTCAAAGCTTATAGTTCATGCTCAGATATGTGGTTGCATTAATAGTGCAAACAAACACAAGCATGTTCAGGAACTTGGAGTCTCCTGTGTCTGTGCTGACTGACTAGATCACCAGTGGACTCGTAATGGTGGCAAAGGAGGTGACGGCTCGAGCCCCCACCGCTCAACAGCCTGCTGGCAAGTCCTGTCATTGCGGACGTTGCTCCCCTTGGCCCTGACTCTGGCTCTGAGGACTAGAGCGTCAGATGAAGTCAAAGGGCTTGGAAGATCTGCATAAGTTGTACATTGTTGCATAGGTGCAACACTTCAGGTTGGCAACTCCAATTATTTTGTTAGCTGACCAGGTAATGGGGTTCCATCAGCCAAAAGTGAACTTGGGCCACAGGCTTGGCTTAACCTCCTAGGGCAAGCAGGGCAGAGACTAGAGAATCTGAGTAGGACCACACATCAGGTTCAAGTCTCAGCTCATACAGTGATCTTGGGCCAGTTTTCCCTGGCCTGATTTAATTTGTAGGGTAGTCGTAAGAAAATGAGGCAGAAACCACACACCCCACCATGGACCTCGTGAAGGAAAGAAGGGGTAAAAGTGAGATGAATAAACATAGTTTCTGCTGGTCAGAACTAAGTAGTGGGGTCAAACTTTGGGGGGGAGGTAATGGTATACTCAGGCCACGGTGACTCAGAGGTTAAAATGCTAAGCTGCAGACCTGAAGGTCTGTAGCTCGGCAGTTCAAGACCCGAGTGTCACATAGCAGAGTGAGCTCCCATCTCTGGCCCCAGCTCCTGCCAGCCTAGCAGTTTGAGATGAGGAGGAGTCTCAGAGCAGCTTACGAACTCCTTTCCCTTCCCCTCCCCACAACAGACACCCTGTGAGGTAGGTGGGGCTGAGAGAGCTCTGACAGAAACTGCTCTTTTTCAAGGACAGCTCTTACCAGAACTATGGCTTGCCCAAGGTCATCCAGCAGGTGCAAGTGGAGTGGGGAATCAAACCCGGTTCTCCCAGATTAGAGTCCGCACACTTAACCACTACACCAAACTGGCTCTAGAAACTGCAAGTAGATTGCAAGTAGATAAATAGGTACCAGTTCAGTGGGAGGGTAACAGCATTCGTTGTGCCTCAGCGTTTATTCATGCTGGCCACATGACCATGGTAACGTCTTCGGACAGCACTGGATCTTCGGCTTGAAAACAGATGAGCACCACCCCCTAGAATCAGAGTCAACTGGCTTTCGAGCAAGGGAAACCTTTATCTTTACCTTTACTGGTAGGCTGGTGTAAATCTTGTCCTTTCTTCCGCAGGTCAACAGAAGCAGAGTGAAGGCCTCTGGGTAACAGCCATCTTGATCATTGCCATGACTCTTGGGCTTGTGGGTACTGCAGCTGTAACACTAGTTCTGTTCAAGGCCCAAAAGAAGCAAAATCAATAAAATTAGATTTAAAACAAGTCTTGCTGCTTAAACCATTTCTCTGTGGGAGGTGTGGGGCTCTTTATTGAAAGTCCTGGAGCCAAAGTCTCTCTGTACAGCTGGAATAGCCTGCGGAAGCTCTGAAGTAAACAGGCTCTCTGTTTGCAGGAAAATCTATAGCCTCTCAGCCGTACTGCTTCAGAGCATCCCAGTTATAAAGGGTTGGCACCGGATGGAACAGCTTCAGTTATGGCCGGTGCCCCTCAAGGGTATAGATCAGAACTTCTGCATGCTTTCAAGCTTGCACCCAAACAGCTTTGGATCTGCTCTGCTGCTGACTCTGAAAGCGTTTGTGCTGAGCTGTCTCCCGCTATTGAGTGACTCCCTCTTGCCATCCAACTCATCTTATTTGCATGTGGGACAGCCAAGACAGCCAGCTTTCAGGAGCTCTCCCAGAATGACAGCCGATGTCTCAGGGGCAGGTAGTTCCCTGGAGGGTGGGGCCCTATGGGGGCTATATCCCACGGAGGTCCTTCCGCCACCCCCAAGTCCCCGGGCACTTCCCAGCCGGGATCTGGCAACCTTCGTGGTGCCTGGGGTTGCCCACTCTGGGCGGGAGATTTTGGGTAAGGAGCCTGGGAGCGTGGCAGGATCTGTGGAGGGGAAGGGGCTCCTCGGGGCACAATGCCTGCAGACCCGCCTTCCCCGGCGGCCGTTTTCCCCGGGGGAACTGAGCTCTCTCACCCGGGGGGGATCTCCAGGCCCTGCCCGGAGGTTGGCAACCATGGCTGTGCCCTTGTCCATCCCACGTGGAAGGATCGTGGCCGTAGAGTCCCACAGCCCTGCAAGTGGCTTTCTGCAGCCTCCTGCAAGGTCCCACGTTGGCCTGCTAGTCTCCATGAATGCATTTGTTGAACAAAATTGATGCCACAGACATATAAATGGGGAAGAGTTTTGCTCCCTTCAAGGATTTCCGGGTGGATGTGGATGTCCTGCACTGTATCTGGGTCCGGTCTCTGCTCTGGGTCCCCTTCCCTCCTTTTCCCAAATGCTTCCAGTTGCCCTGTCTGAAGAAAACTGGAAGCAGCCAGGATCCGGCTATCTGGTGGTTCTGGCTCCTCAGAGCTGCTCTCCCTCTTGCCTCTTGAGCCAGTTTGGTGTCGTGTTTTAGTGCGCGGACTCTAATCTGGGAGAACCAGGTTTTATTCCCCACTCCTTCACTTGCACCTGCTGGATGACCTTGGGCAAGCCATAGTTCTCTCAGTGCTGTTCTTAAAAAAGTCCCTCCTACCCGACAGGGTGTCTGTTGTGGGGAGGGAAAGGGAAAGGAGTCCGTAAGCCGCTCTGAGACACCTTTGGGTAGTGAAGGGCGGGGTATAAATCCAATCTCTTCTCTCTTCTTCTAACCATTATTACAGTCTCCGATGTGAAGCAGTGGGGTACTTCATCATGCTAAAAGGAAGGCTTAGACTCTCACCCCCTTGAGCTGTTTAAGGAAGCCACGTGTGCCCTACAAAGCAGAAGGAAAACAGGATTCTCTGTCCCAGGAAACAAAATAGCTGTTCGGTTCATGACCAATATTCCCTCTAAGCGGTGGAGTCTTGTGAGCAAAAATTCAGCTTGGTGAACTACCGGCATTCAAATTGTAAGCAAGTGATTTGGCAGCTGCATAAATCAGTTTTCCCTGGAGCCCTCCTTCCTGAGCTGAGGCAAAAATGGGTGAGCTGGAGGCTAAAAAACTATGAGCTAGCTCACACTAACTCAGCTTAGAGGGAACACTGTTCATGACAAAGGGGTGTGTGTACTTGGCTGCTTAATTGTTTCTGCTGCCTTCGGCTCTTGTCACATTCCTTGACAGTGAGTGAACTGCAGTTGATGGAGCTTTTGCCCTGTCAGCACCACTGCCCTTTCATCCCAAGAGGAAGACACAAATATAATTGGAACCAGTTGCTGCAGAGATGGCATTATTCACTGCAATGAGCTTGTTAGCATTTCCATCTGCAGCCAGATCAAAGTGGCAGTCTTACAGCTATTTAGTTGGGGGGGGGGATTGTGTGTGTTTGTAAGCCTGGAAATCATGGTGACGTCTGGGGACCCCTAGTGGGGCTAGGATGGCTAATCTGGGAGAACCGGGTTTGATTCCCCACTCCTCCACTTGCACCTGCTGATGTGACCTTGGGTCAGTCACAAGCTCTGGCACAGCTGTCCTTGAAAAAGAGCAGTTTGTGTCAGAGTTCTCTCAGCCCCACCCACCTCACAGGGTGTCTGTTGTGGGGAGGGGGAAGGGAAAGGAGTTTGTAAGCCGCTCTGAGACTCCAAGTGAAGGGCGGGGTATAAATCCAATCTCTCCTCTCTTCTTCTTCTGGGGACCCCTAGTGGGGCTAGGATGGTTTTTCAGAGAGGTGGCTTGATTGTCTGCCTTTGCCTCCCGGCCAGGTATTCTTTCAAGATTTCCCTTCCAAGTACTAGCCAGGGGTCAGCCCTGCTTAGCTTCCGAGATCTGATGAGATCAGGCTTTGTCCGGTGCTGTGCAGTTAGCAGCTTGAGCAGAGGCTGGACTTGGAGGTGGGGAGGGGGACAGACCCTGGTTTCTAAGAGGTGTCGTCTGCTGTATGTGAGTTCAGCGGGTGCTGCTGCTGTTGTGTTCTCTCCGGTCAAGAGCATTGTCTTGGGAAGCCCCTGCCTCTCTAGGTCCCTTTGCCAGTTCAGTCTTGGCCTTGGATAAACCTGTTCTCCCGGATAGCGTGAGAATGAATGTTTCTGCTTTTCTTTATATGTGTGTGGGGGGGAATATATGCTTTGATTTCCTCCTTTCTGGGTGAATTGTAATTGATTTCTGATTCATGTAGGACAAGAGTTCCTACCCTTTTGAAAGGGGTCCAATTCTGAACCTGCTGTACTTTTGGGGGGTGGGGGGGTGAGGAAATGTTTGCAAAATAACTTCGTGCTATTTCTCCAAAACAAAGTAACAAGGATCTAGCGTTAAGACGAGCTCACATTGTATTTTTGTGTTTGTATAAAAGCACTGCAGAGGGAACTGTGGTAGCTGCTTGGAACGTACATAATGAAGAGGCAAATCCAGATGTGCCCCCCCACCTCATGACCGACCTGCAAGAGCCAGGATGTACCTTTTGAGGTGTAGTCCAACAGAGAACTGCTGTTGTACCCAAATGTGTTGTGCGTAGAGCCCAGCCGCAACAGCAGAGGCAGGGCACAGAGATAGTCCTCCAGTGGCTGTCCTTACCTGCTGCAACCATTGAACAGC